TGTGTTGGCGGAAAATTCTAAACATGTTTACTCCATGTGTGCATCATTATGATATTGATGATGCCTGTCAACTGGAGTCCCTCAAATGCATAAAGTGGGAATATATTATTGTAAGACGCATTTTATTGGGTTACGCAAGCTGCTCTCCTATATATATTAGTCATAAGGAACTGAAAAGCCTGAATCTTCAAACACTATACTTCGTTCGTCAAGTTACGCAAGATTATTCCTTTTTTAACTGCAGTCAGTGCATATCACTTCTGGAAAAGTGTGAATATAATAATTTGTTCCCGTAAGCTGAAGCATATAATGTATATCTGACCATTCGTGACCTTCACGCGAACTGTTACGGTCGCTTGTAACCTTTGTAGAACTGCAGATACACTTATCGCTCGTTGCGTAACACGAAAGAGTCAGTGTTTTACATTTATATGCCATACAACTTTTCTGTCAATTCAACATTTCTTCTAGTTATATACTCCCCGAATTTTAAAGGAACTGCATTTCTGACATCACCAGCCGACTTCTTACACTTGAGAAAAGTTTTCACGCGTGGGGAAGTTAATTTGACCCGATGGTAAGCCACACGTACTATGCACGGAAAAGCCACTCAGTGAAAGCACACGCATGGTCATACTTAGAGCTTAAAACGTTGACACACAACTACTGATAGGAAATGTGTGGTGTTTAAAGCGTTTATCGGGCAAATGAGCCGTTTGTATTACAAGTGATCACCAAGACTAAACCTACAAACCGTTGGACACACCAGGATCAGCGATCACTCGATCACGGTCAAATAAAGACTTACTGTAGGGAAGGCATGACAGTGTTATCTCTGGAAACCCACAAAGAGTTGTTCGCCATAAGGCAGTAACACAGAGGCCGCCCAACTTCTGGTGTCTTGAAGTTCACCGCAAGCTAAAGTTGCCACTTTCCTGCCAGCCAGTAGTTTCACGAGAAGGCTGTCAGGCTGAGCAAAGTAGAAATGCTTATATTCATAAAAGATTTTAGTGGCGCTATATCAACCCCTTTGATACTCATTCTCTTCCTTTATATCTTGCTGTCACCTCATCTTCCTTTCATAAATTTTAGTTTCTCGCTACATTTAGTGTCGTATCGGATATTTATCTAATCCCTTTTTATGGTTTTTTCTTCAAATTCCCTCTCTTTAATTACTGTCCTCCTAACACCTCATTTTTCACTGTGTCCGGCGAAACTTCAGACTACAGACCAGAACATTAAGTCCCCTACTAACAGACAGCTTCACGTCAACTACCCCACAACACGCTGAGGTTGTAAGACTCACTGTCAGCTGCCTATATAGCAATGTAAGGGGGCTGAGAGGAAAAATAGGTGAACTCCGAAATCCCCAAGCACACCTACAACTGAAAATGATCATTTTCACCGAAACATGGATAACCCCCACTATCACTGATAATGAAATCAGAATAGGTGATATGGTTCTGGTCAGGAGAGACAGGGATAATAAGGAAGGAGGGGGAGTTGCTATATTCTTTGACAGGCAACTTAAATGTGTGCGCGCAACGGACCCACCACCTATTGAACTCCCAGACTCCATATGGTGTCATTTCACCGTAGGCCACACCAAGAATTTACTTGGTGGCATCTACCGATCACCCACCTGTTGGGCAGAGCACAATCAGCTACTGCTCATTACTATCACAGTGATACGAGACTTGGGCTATGACCAAATCACTATTGCTGTAGCTTTCAATGGCCCATCACTGATTCTTAGCTCAGGGTATGCTAAGGGAAAATTTGGCCGAAATCTACTGCAAACTATTCGAAACACAGGACTGACTGAGAACGTTGGAGACAACAATAGGTGGGGCCCTAGTGCAAAGTCATCAAAACTAGACTACATTCTAACTAGTGACCAACTACTCGTCGAAAAGGTCCAGATCATGACTCCTCTAGGAAGTAGTGACCATGCACTCATAGGTTTCCATCTCGTTCTTCGTGAGCATTTGCAGTGGGACGTTACGCGACCATTACTGTGTTACAGCAAGGCTGACTATGCTGAAATGCGGAGGCTCTTGTCCGACGCAGACTGGCCCTTAGCATGGGATGAGCTGTTTGTGGATGGACACTGGGAGGTGGCGAAAAAGATTGTTCATACAGTAATCTCGAATACCGTCCCTTTAGTCACAACGCAGTCCAAAAGAAAGTCATCATGGTTAAAGAGAGGTACGCAGCGTATTCTGCAAGCAAAGCGGAAGGCTTGGTTTACGTGGCGCGTATCTAAGAGTCAGATCGACCACAATGCATACCTGGAACTCAGGAACCGGTGCAATGCAAGAGTCAGGGGGTCAGGAGGTCATTTCAGGCTAACCTTGCTATAAAAGTACTAGCAAACCCCAAGAACTTGTACTGATTCATGTCGGAAAGTAAACCAACCAACCAGGGGCATGCTCCTTAGTAGGACCAAACGGTCAATATCTCACTAGTCTGGAGATGGCTGAAACATTCCGTTTAGCCTTCGCCAAACAGCTAAACAGCAATGTGGGTATTACCGTTATGAACCAAAGTGGTGGCACCACTATTTCACAGGAGGAAGACCTAATGGCTGCTACCCAAATAAACCCTGCAATAGTACTAAGAAAGCCACAGTGACTCACACCTGGGAAGTCTCCAAGTTGCGGCGGCATCAGGCCATCTCTTCTGAAACAGTGTACCGAAGCTCTCTGTAGGCCCTTATGCGACTTGTTCCAACACTCCATGGAATCGAGGAAACTGCCAGTGGAATGGAAAAGAAGCTTCCTTTCTCCGATCTTCAAGGGTGGGGATAGGCAAAGTCCCACTAGTTATAGACCAATAGCTCTACTCCCAGTGGTATCTAAAGTACTGGAAAGTATTATTGACGATCACATCAGGGAATATCTCGATAGGTCTAATATACTCCATGAAGCCCAGCACGGTTTCAGGAAAGGCAGATCCTGCGTTACTAACCTACTATCAGCTTTGGACGATTGGACATCCTGCTGGGATATGAATGTTCCAGTCCATGTGGTCTTCCTAGACTTTGAGAAGGCATTCGATACCATGACCTTCTCCTACACAAAATAAGCCAGGCAGGTATAGGCAAGCCACTTCTCTCATGGTTGAAGGACTACCTAACTGAAAGGCGAGTTTACACTAAGGTCAGTCGAGTCCGATCATCTTGGCACAACTCGTCATCAGAAATGTCACAGGGTTCTATCCTGCGACCACTGATGTTTTTGATTTTTATCAACGATCTACCATGCCGTCTATGCTTCCCGACTCTTTTATGCGCTGACGACGGGCGATAAAGTGCCCGGAGGACTCAGATAGGCTACAGGAAGATCTAAACGTTCTGGAAGACTGGGTCGTGGCCAGTGGCATGACTTTCAACCTGAAAAAGTGCAAAGTAGTGAAGTTACGCACCTATAGACTGCAGAATGCAAGTTACACCCTATGCAATGAAAGCTTGTCCTGTACAACGTCGGAATGTGACTTAGGTCTAGTTCTAAGGGAGAATATAGACGCAAGCGTAAATTACACGGGGGATGTAGCGAGGGCATATGCGGTGATACACTTTACACATAGAAAGTTAGGTGCACTCACTCCTGAGCTCTTTCTAAGGTTGTACAAAACATACGTCAGACCACACCTTGAAGTGCATAATATTATTGCACCCCCACTGCCTAGACGAGACGCCAACCTCTTGGAAAGAGTCCAACGACGGGCAACAAAAGGAGTGGTTGGTCTCCGAAATAAACCATATGATGGAAGGCTGAAGAAATTAGGCCTATTCACACTAAGCTACCGTCGTCTTAGGGGGATTTAATTACTGCCTACAAAATAACAAATGACCAGAATCACCCAAACAAAGGTGTTCTGCCATTGAGTAGGTATAGGCTCCCTCGTAGAAATCCTAGAAGGATAGCTCATCAGAGGGCAAGGACCCAGGTGCGCTCCCACTTCTTTTCCCTGCAGGTTTGCCGTCCCTGGAATTCCTTACCGGCAGATCTTGCTATGGCACCGTCTGTGGACGCCTTTAAGCGAAGGCTGGACAATCATGCAGCGACACAAGGACTGCATCCAAATGGCCCATCCCCTTAAAATCGCATACACCATTCAAGGGTAGACAATTAAACTTGTCGTTTTACTTCTTTACATTCTCTCCCATCTTACTCTCCTGACAGCTTTAACTACACCTATTATTATCATTATTACTGGTATATATATTATTGATATTATTCTTCAAATTTAATCAGCTGCCTATTGTTACGTTTTCTTATTCTTTTTCTGTCTGTTAGTCTAAACAACACTAATTATATCTATTGTTGTTATTGTTATTATTATTATCTCTTTTCTTTTGACGACAATACCGGAGGACTAACTGGTGAAAGGATCAACTCTATTCACAGTAGTAACAGTCTTAACACACCTCATACTACAAACTACATATAATTAATCCCTGCACTACTCCTTTTGGAGTCAACCAAAGCTACGACAGTCGAGTGGCGGGACGAGCTACGCAGAAGTTTACCGAAGATCAGGAACCTATACCTCACAATCAAGAGGCGAGCACAAAGAAATCAAATTGGTTTATACTAGCTCGTTAAAACGATATTGGATATTGGAGTAACAACACTGCTGGGCCAAATAATGCCTTTTATGAAGTTAACTGATATCCGTGCGCTCGCTACTTGTAGTACACTGCTGTAGCAGTTAGTAGGTTGAATCTAATGCATGAGAAAACACCGGACATCTAAAACTGTTCGACATCACCGAAAAATTAGTAACATAAAACCTAAGGTTTTGTACAAGGCAGTCACAAAGGCATTGGATATTGGAGCCCCTTATAACTGTCCTTACTCGATGAGGCGGCTGATTTATACATTGTGGAAGGATGGCGGACAAAAGAAAGTTGCAAAGTGATATAGAGAGGAATCTAAAAAGAGTTCAGGAAGGAAGAACAGCCTTCCAGGTACAGTTCCTTTTTATGCAAAGATCAGTTCTCATAGTATAACTCACCGAATTTGCAATGTATGGTTGTGACTTTTTGTTGGTTGAAAATAGCTTAGCATATTTATTCTCAACATAAGTGTTGCAGTCTTTTGGCATTTAAACTGTTTATCAGTAGAGCGTATTACAGGGGCGAAAACTACGCCTAACCGGTGTTATGGCTGTTCTATAAACACTCCAACTCGAAGAAAAATGGTAGAAAACGGGTGAATAATAGACATGCGATGAACTCGCCTGTAGTAAGATAGTGGGTGATTTTTGGTTATGTGACAAGGTTTTTAGCACTGTCCCTTTATGACCATCATCTGACTGAAATTTCATCACTGTGGCCATTATTTAACCAGTATTTTATTACTATCCAACCATTCTTAACATTTACACAATCATAATGGTTTCTAACCCATTATGTAACCTAGATTTATCTATCATTCCACCATACTTACCAATTGCCTAAGATCTGTCCATTTTAACTATTATTTAACCATTCTTTGTCCGTTCTTGTCCCATTGAGTTAGTTAAAAAATAGCTTTAAAGACATACTAGGTCTCAACACTAAAGTATTGCGGCTTTTTGGCAACCGCATTGTTTGTCGACAGAGCGTATTGCAAGGGTGATGATGTGTAGCCTGTGTCACGGCTACTCCCAAACCCGGTACTCAATAATATGAATGTTACCGAAGACTTGACAATTACTTTATAATTTAGGGTTACGTCAATGTGGTTAACTGCATACCCTCACCAAATCAGGAAGAATCTGAAGATCTGCGTTACTAGTTGTAGGTTATTCGTTAGATTTTTAGGCATAGTATCGGAATTAAATTTCATATGTAAGCTTTGTACTATGTGAAGAACTTATGGTAATCTTCAAGTTATTTGTGGTTCGTGGACCCTTGTTTTCTTTTTTCCTATATGCGATGCAATTATTGGTATAAATGCTACTAATGAGTGCTTTCGGCACTCCAATTAATGACACCAGCTATTAATTATATGGCGTACATACTAGATAGAATTCATTTTCTCTGCGTTTAATCTGCCACAGGTATCCAGATGATGTAGTATATTCAGCGAGTTAAATGGTAGTTTCATGTTAAAGAGAAAGAGAACACAATGTGGCAGTCATTTGGCTTCAAGGATAATCATAGTAAGAGTATAAGATAATGCGAGATACTCCGATCGAGATGGATTGTCGAAGTTTTTATGGGAAGATATAACTGGCATAGTCACATATAATAATGGTTGTAGATGACACTAGAAAAAAGCCGTAGTCTGTTGTGGGTAGATTGAACGATGACGTGCTTGCTGCGTAGTGTGATGATACTAAACCTTTCGATTCTCAATATTATAGATTGTCAAATCAGGTTGAAAGAGTTACCCAGCGTTCCCTAATTTCCAAAGCTTTTCTCTCTTTATCCTTGAATTTGGAGTAGATGTAAACTAGTCATGTAGTATCGTCATATTTTGTGACTGACAGGAGTAAACCAAGTTTTTGTTCAAGGTGTTCCAAAACTGCATTCTGTTAGCGTCTTCATCTAGGGTGACTATATCAACTGCATACTCTAGATTATCAAGAGCGTTTCCTGGTAACAAGTCAATCCCTGAGATGTCGAGGTCTTTAAGGATAGGGAAAGCGTGTTATATTCGTCCAGGCCTTTCCATGATCTTCGTTCTCTCACCAGCTGCTGAAGTGAAAATAAGTTTTGTGAAAAACTTTAGTTCAGTTCTGACTGGCACTGTACTAAGATATTGTCTCAGCAGGTGATTTCAGTGCTCCTTCAAGAAATCTGGGTCAATTTTGTTTTGGTAAAGTCTCACAGTGTTATACAGTAATGTTTACTGATGACGTTTTCAGCCCAATTTATTGCTCATAATCATATCAAGGTAATCACACGACTTCCTAAATTCATTTATATAGTTCCATTGTTTTTCACTTGATTTGATTTGTAGTAATACTTCCATATTTCGGGTATGAGTGATTAATCATTCCTATTACATGTGTTGGGTGTAGATTCAATGAACAAGGATTCAGTAATCAGCCTCTCTCTCCATCTACCTAGATTACTTTTTAGAATTTTAACCCTCTCCCACCCTATTGTGTGGTTGTGTTAATGCATGCATTACAATTGCTGAGATTTTTTCTAAATTACTTATCTTCCCGGGGTCAACTATTCTTACCTTGATTACCTTGATATGATTATGAGCAATACATTGTGCTCGAAACGTCATCAGTAAACATTACTGTATAAAACTGTGAGACTTTATCAAAACAAAATTTACCCTTAATGGAATTACACTCTACCACAGTGCACAAGTTTTATTCTTATATCAAATCTGGGTCAATTTGAAAGGTGTGTTGGGGATTCTACCATACGAAAAGGTCGGTAGGATAGCAATGAGATAGTTAATATGAGTGAGTATTTTATGGATAAATATGGTTACTTATGTGTAGTTTTTGTTTCGAATAACCAGAGGCGAATTATTTTGGCTTTTCACTTTGGGCTGTACTGTTTAAAAATTATTTAAATCCTTGTAGTATGAAGTAAAGGGTCGGGATTTCTGCTCTCATACAGATATGTTATAGCCTTGGGTGTTAGCTGTGCTTATTACTGTTGAGTGTTGTGTCAAAATGATCATCTATTTTTATTGTTAGTTGACTCTTCATGGTACCATCAGACTGACTATAGGTCAAGATTTAAGTCGCTTGTCTAATTTGGTGACTTTTCATGTTCATAATTAGGTATGGCTGTACATACAGATGTGTTAGTCTTTACATACGATTAGATTTGTGTTATTAAGAGGAACTACATAATTTTTGTGTGTACTGAAAGTTCTATCACAAATGATTTTTCCGGTTTTCAGCAAAATAAAGTCATTTCAGTAAATGGTTCTGATTACGCTTAGAGCCTAACCTTACTTCTATCTGATACACTTGTTGCTTCAATCATAGTGATTGGTGTTGCATAGTTGTAGTGATCAACTCACCTCACTACAAAATTGAGTGAAGTCACTGTCGGCTAAATGCATAAAAGTTAGATAACTTAACACTAGTCATCTGTACTATGGTTACATCAAGGTGGATTATCTCGGTTTTTTGTATCTCATCTGTTTCACACATAATGTAGTATCTGACGATGCAAGTTGCGCTTATATTTGAACCTCCTGACAGATATCGCTTTGCCCATTCATGTAAGCAAAATGCTGTGTCAGTATTATTTTAAATAAAAGTTCCATTTAATTGAGCTCTACTTTGAGCAGTTGAGCAACAGTGATCAGGTTCTTGAAGCTGATAATGAGCCAAACGTATTTTGTAAGAGGTAATCATACTGTTTGCATGGCTGCATTTGCGTTGAAAGCCAAGGCTGTAGAGCATAAGCTGATTATACAATCACTCTTAGAAATGAGTGTCTAGAGGAAACCTAAATCTACTCTTTCGTTCATAATTCTCATGATTTGATTTTTTGATTTACTTCGGCTATCTCCTACGGGAGGATGAGCCGGCTTCATGAACATCTCGAAGCATCGCTGCCCAGGCGCGGCGATCTGATGCAAGGTTTTGCGACAGGGTTATCCAATTCTTGTTCCACAGACGGAGTCCGTAGACGGTTTGTAGCCCCAGGCACTCCATATCAGCCTTGACTGTACCCAGCCATGTTTTCAGCTGTCCACCCCTGCGACATCGCCAAGATGGTAATGGCGAGGGATTTAGAACTGATTTGACCAGATCGTCATCTGGTCGGCGCAGAACATGACCAAATCACCGAAGGCGACGTTGTTGAACCAGTACTGGAATTTGGTTGATGTTGTAGCAAGGACGACGCACTTCTTCGTTGGAGAGTTTGTCCTGCCAACGAACATGCATAATGTACCTGAGGCACCAATGGTCTACTACCTCGAGTTTGGGAGGGTTCATGAAGTTTCATGGGAATTCGGTACGAGTGATGTCCCCAGAATCGCTCGGCCTTTCGTTTGAGAGTGCAGCTCTAGCCTTTACACAACCAAGTGTGACCTACAAGGCAGTAGGAGTGGAGTAGGGTGTCCACTATCCATTGGCAGCCGGTGACCGGAGTTCGGTTCATACGCCTTTTTGAATGGGGCCAGACATCCAGGACATCCAACAAACCCTTTGTCCATACGTCTGCCGGTGAGCTCCAGTGAGCTTCATACGCCAGTTGTTGGAGGTTTGGAATCAGGGTTTAGCCGTCTCCCCTAGACTGTCATCCAGTGGACAGTCAACCCGGTGAAGAGCGCCGGGCATCCGCTTTCGCCCTCTCACTTTGGTGAAAAACACCTCCGCCACGTGAAGGCAGTGAGTAGAACTTCCTCAGTAGAGGCTATGTAAGACGCCCGGTCATATGGGAGCATTTCAAGAGGTGTGCGGAGGGGTGGCCAACCCGAGCGCAAGGCACCCACCCCCGACCATCCTGAGGCTTTGGAGGCTAATTCTCATGCATATGGTGTGTCGTAATGTAGGCTTCTGTGCCTGACTTTTAACAGCAAACGGATTTTGTGGTGCTTTGTCTTTATCAAGGTGTAGATGTTCTTTTAATGTAGTGCGATTCAATATTGAGGTTGCTTCATTAAGCTGTAAAATAAGTGATTTATGAAAGCTGAATGGCAATTCAAGTTAAGGCAAGTGTATCTGACATTAACTTATTGTTACACCAATTGAGATGGTTAGAATATGTGTTACGCATGCCTAGCCACCGCCTTCCTCGACTGCCGGGCAATGTTAGCTGACAGGATTGATCAGGTTGGAAAAGAGTTAGTGGTGGTCAAAACAAAATATGGCTTGATCAGTCAATGAAATCCACAACAGTTAATTTAAGACAGCCACGTAGGGAGGTATAAACTTCCTGACTGGTTGGGATTCTCGGGATGGTAAAAACCAATGAAGGCTGGAGACAATTGGTGATATGGCTCGAAATCTTCGTTCTCAATGGCTGGCTCAGATGCATTCACTCTTTGTGATTTATCATATCCAACAAAACTCTCTTCTTCCATATTACTTTTCTTTTACCCTCACTCGCACTTCTGTTTATTGTCTCTCTTTTGTTTTGCATACTACATGGGATGTGGCAATTGGAACTGCTGCACATCTGTGCAAAGCTCTTCGTTGAAACCAGTCAGTCAGTTATTACCTATAGGCTAGTAACTGCATGCTCAGACCTTTAAATTGTCCCCATTATGTATGATATTTTTAACATTGTGCATTCTCCTGTCAGTATGCTGGTAATGATATTGGCAGCTTTTTGTTAATTGACTCACATACTCTTGCATTCCAAGTGTCTACTCCATTGTGTTTAAAAATTATCAGTGGAACTAGGCCTATGATGTTCATGTCCACTTAGTTCATCTCTCTAATATTGTTAAGTTGAATTATTTTTATCCTTCTTATGTTCTTATTGTGATTCAATGTTTTCCAACTTCAAGATATACAGTCATCATGTTTTGTCTACATTTTGTGGTTATAGCAAATAATATTATGTTCTTAGTTGTGTTTTTTTTTTCAATGGTTAGTTATTTTAACGAATCACATTTAAAAAATCAATCGAAAAAGGTAGACCTTCCACTAGATAGTCTATTTTTGTAGGACTTTGTAACTAATAAATTTACACAGCAAGTTAACAACTCCTCTAAAAATAATTATTTCAATACATAAGTAAACAACACAGGAGTATTGTGTTTCAGAATTAAAAATTGAGTATTTTTTTTAACCTTGATTTGTCAATTAACTAGTTTAATTAATCGATTGAGTTCCAATATAGAACTTTGCACAGAAATGCAACCGTCCAAATTGTTACACTCCATGTAGCACACAAAAGTAGACAAACAAGAGGAAAAAAACGAGATTCTAAAGAAATGTGAAGTAGAAAGAGTAGTAACATGGAGAAACATCAGAGCATAGTGGATATTGGAGGCTACAAAGAGTGGATGCATCTGCAGTTTTGAGCTATATCACCAACAATCCGCAGTCATTGGTTCTTAGCATTCTCAGGACACCAACAAAGCAGTGTAAAACTCCTTACGTGGCTCGAATCAGCTGTCAGAGACTTAATAAACTGATACATGAGGTTTTGTTTTGACTGCCTGAGACTGTTTCTCAACTTGATCCTATGTCAGGTATTATTGTTCGTCATGAAAGGCGATGGTTTAGGATGCGCAATATCTGTTCTAGCTATTTCAATTGATGTAGCTTCACAACCTCATCGATTGACTTACCTCCTTCATCTAGCACTTTGCCTAACTTCATTATTACTCATCATGTTACACTACCTAACTGTGGAAGTAGAATGCAAATATCTGTGATCAAAGAAAGCTAACCTTTTCATATTTTCCACTTTCAATGACTTCTCAGCTGTAGAGGAGGATAGGGCGAACTGCTGTGCATCGCACGCGTCCTTTGGTGCATTGTCAAATATCATGTCTACGCTAGAGATGGCGTAAGTTGGCAAATGCCACACGAGCTTCTTGTATCCGTGCTTAAATTTCGTCAGCAATCAATCCATTAAGGCTAATGCAACTCCCCAAATAAGTGAAGTGGTCACACACACGCACACACGTGACCACTTCACCACTTATGTTTAAGCTAGAAGTCGATGTAGTCGAGTCCTGCAGCGTCATTTTACATTTAGCAAGAGTGAATCACATGCCAAAAACTTGATGTTCAGAGGACTGGATTTTATCACCGTTTTCACCTAAGAGGACACTACTCTAAGTCAGTCCCTTATTCGCTAAAGTTAATTAGGGCAAATTCCATTCGTACATCTGTGATGAAACCAAACAAAACTGGGGACACTGGGCGCTCCTGATGGACACCACTTGTTGTTATCACTTCAAAATAACAACTCTAATTAAATTGAAGACAATATGAAAGTCTCAAGTCATCATCAAATACAGCTAATTATGTATGTATTGATATTTCCGCATAACAAATTTCATAAATATCGTGCTGCATTATTGTTTTTTTCTCTCTCCAGAAATATTAATGTGATTATTAGTTCTGGTATCTATGACAACTAACATTTTAATTAACCTAAATAATCATCATTTCATATTTCTTCTCTTTTCTTTTCTCCCCTTTATATTCAACATATTTCATCAATTTAGGAGATATTAGATAAATTTGAGAGTTCAAATAATCCAACTCAAAAAGAGAAATTTGAAGGTGATTTAAAAAAAGAAATTAAAAAACTACAAAGATTAAGAGATCAAATTAAAACATGGATAACAGCTAGTGAAGTTAAAGATAAACGACCTTTATTAGAAGCACGAAAAGAAATAGAACAAGATATGGAAAGATTTAAAGTTATCGAGAAGGAGACAAAAACTAAAGCCTATTCTAAAGAAGGCTTATTATCTTCAGAAGCCAAGAAAGATCCTCTACAAAAAGAGAAAGAAGAATTAGACGAATGGTTAAAACAATGTATTAGTTCGCTAAATACTCAAACAGAAAAGTATGAATTTGAAATTGAAAGTCTATCAAATAACAATAAAAAGAAAAGGATAGATAAAGAAACAGCTTTAGCTATCGATGAAAAACGTCAACGTTTAGAGATGTGTTGTTTTCATGTCGAGAAACTTGAAGCTATCATGCGTTTACTGGATAATGAACGATTAGACTGTACAAAAGTTAGATCAATTCAAGAGTCGATTGAATATGTGATCGATTGTGGCGATAATCAATCTATGCTTGATTTTAAAAATATCTATGATGATTTATGTTTGGATGAGTTAGGCGATTCCACTGGAATAACTGCTGCTTCAGGTACTGTCACTGTTAATCAAGAGCATGATTTAAATGGTGTGATTACTCCTGTTGCCAATTTAGTAAATCCTCGAGTTGGAAACGATGATGCTGGTTCATCGGCATCAACGCATACAAGTACTTCCAATCATACTGACTCCTCAGTTAATCATCCAGGATCATCAACTTCCTCAAATGCTTCATCCTCACGGGAACGTGCTAAAAGCGATGAAAAGATTCCTTTATTACCGCATGTATCCGCTTCGTCTACCAGTACACCTGTGAAATCTAATACAGGCGGTTCAACTGGTAAGCATAAATCGAATAGTCTAGCCAATCAAACTGCTCCTGCTCTTATGTCTCAAGTTGTCGCTGGTACGCCTAATAAGTCTGGAAAGTCTAACACAAATAGCCATGTCTTAGCAGCAAACTCTACTATAAATAATATGATTGATTCGAATGCAGTGAAACCTACTCCTTTGGATTCACAAGTTGTCGTTGATGATTCTTCTCGTAACCAGAAAAATGATAGTAGTCAAAAAATTACTGATCGTTCCAGTACTACAAATCCTCAGCTGCAATCACACAATAAAAATACACCAAATGATGATTTAAATTCACTGTCACCTATCTCCTCTGTCACAGTAACAAATTCAACCTCTCCGGTGCCTAATCATGCGTTTACCACTCCACATCCCAAAGATGATTCATCTGTGATTAATAATCGAGAAGAATTTCTCACAGTCAGTCAGTCTTCGTGTATTTCAAGTTCAGTTAACTCTTCATCACCTGTTACAATCCGAAGTAAGTCATCTGAAGTGAATAAAACTACTGGAGTTACAAATGTTTACAATAATACAATCCTTTCAACATCATCCTCTGATGGAGCTGAACATGTCAATCATACACCACCGAGTTTGTATTCAGCAGCTATGTTGGCAGCTTCTCAGGATAAACAATTGTCATCATTACTTGCTAGCTCTCAGCATCCATCTGCAGTACGTGGAGGTTCAAATGCCATGGATCCTTCGGTGTCTGCAGTTTCCATGTCTAGCAAATTCCAATCTGTATCCAGTAGTGCTACATCTTTACCACCTTCCTCGTCTGTAATGTCAACAACCATTCCTCAAGCACAGTCGTCTTATTTAGGAATTGACAACCAGGTATCCAGTCTACAGCCATCATTACATTCTTCACAACAGTTGAAAAATCATCCAAGCAGTCCAATTCATGCGCATATGCATCCACGTGATGCAGCGGCTCCATTCCGAAACAGAAATTTGGATAAACCTAAAGGAGCTGTTCCACAGGAGGTAGGTTGTGGAGTCATTTTGCTGATTATTATTTTTGGTACGTTAGACGGTGTTTCGACAACTGTCTGTCTGTTTTCGACATAGAACTTTGCACATATGTGCGGCAGTTCAAGTCGCCACACTCCCTCCTTGTAGCACACAAAGCAAGAGAAGAAAGTAGGAGAAATGCATATTAGAGACAGTAAACAGAGGTGTGAGACAAAGGAATAGTAATAACGAAGAACAAAACAGTTTAATTGGAAATCATAAGTCACAAGGAGTGGATGCATCTGCACCAGCCATTGAGAACGATTTTGAGCCATGTCACCAATTGTTTCCAACCATTGGTTTTTACCGTCCCGAGGACCCCAACCAGTCAGGAAGTCTACACCTTCCTACGTGGCTTAGACTAACTGTTGTAGATTTCATTGACTGGTGCCATGTTTTGGTTTGACCGCCGCTAGCTCTTTTCCAGCCTGACCCTATATCAGCTAACATTGCCCATTGTCGAGGAAGGCGATGACTAGGCATGCGTACGTAACACATGTCCTAACCATCTCAGTCGATGTAATTTCACAGCCTCGTCAATTGATTTCCCCTCCTTACCTAACACTCGACCGATGCCTAACCTCAATATTGCTCACCTTATTATACCATTTCACACGGGAGATAGAACGCAGACACCTATGATCAAAGACAGCTAGTCTTTTCATGTCTTCCACTCTCAATGGCCAGATCTCACAGCCATGAAGGAGGACGGAGCGGACTGTTGAGCAGTACACACGCCCTTTGGTCGATAGTCGGATATCACGTCTACGCCAGAGACGGTGTAAACTGGCATATGCGAAACTAGCCCTCTGTATCCGTGTTGAGATTTCGTCAGAGATCAACCCGTTGGGGCTGATGGTACTTCCCAAGTAAGTGAATCGGTCAACGTGCTCTACCACTTCACTTCCTATTTCTAATCTAGGAGTCGGTGTAGTCCAATCCTGTAACATCATCTTGCATTTGGCGGGAGCGAATCGCATGCCAAACATTCGTAGACCGCAGCTCAAGGTGTTCAAAAGACTCTGCATTTTGTCAGCATCTTCGCCTAGAAGGACTAAATCGTCTGCATATTCTAAGTCAACGAGATTATTCCCTGGTAGCAAGTCAATCCCTGAGTCGCTGAAGTGAGTTAGGGTTAAGTCCATTAGTACATCTATGATGAAGTTGAATAGAAATGGGGATAACGGGCATCCTTGACGGACGTCACTAGTCGTCACCACTTCAGGTGACAACTCGCCATAAGCCCTCACCTGGCTGCATGAGTATGAGTAGAGTGCCTTAATCAATGCAATGTATTTTCTCGGCATTACCTTTACAGCCAAGCATCGCCAGAGAACCTCTCGGTCGACAGAATCGAATGCCACCTTTAGGTCAAGAAATATAATGATTGTTGGACGCCGGTAGGAATGCCAATATTCTAGGATCTGTCGGAGGTTGAAGATATGATCAATACACCCTCTTCCTTGCCTAAAGCCTGCCTGGTTTTCTCGTGTTTGTGCCTCCCGAGCACCACTTAGTCAACGTAATATTATTGAGCCTAGGACTTTAGATACTATATTAGTCAAGCTAATCCCTCTGTGATTATCACAGGAAGACTTGTCTCCCTTCTTGTATATCGGGATGATCAGTGACTTACACCAACCTGATGGGACTTCCTCTGATTCCCAGACGCTGCCTAGTACCTCAGTTAATGCAGACAGTAAACTGTCTCCACCGTACTTAAATACCTCTGGAGTCATTCCATCAGGTCCCGCTGCTTTGCCTTGTTTCAGATTAGTGACAGCTTTAGTAACCTCAGTTAAGGAAGGAGGACCTGTGTCTATATCCCATTCAGGGAGGTGTTGGATGTTCGGCAGGTTAAGTGTGGCTGTAGGCCAATTAAACTGCTCCTCATAGTGCTCTTTCCAGCGTTCCAGTCGTCTGTCCTGGGAGCTAATTATGGTGCTATTTTTCTCCGAGATTGTTTCACTTATCATTTGCCTTTTGCCACCTGTTTCCCTGATAAGCCTAAATAGTTGTCTGGTGTTGCCAATCGCCGATGCCTTTTCCATCTCTTTCGCTTTTGTCGCCCACCACTGTTCACAGTCGTTGCGAAGACTTTTTGTTAGTTTTCATTTAAGTACCTTTCGCTCCTCATCATAATCGGAGCTCGCTGGAATCAGTCTTCTTGCGTCAATCAGTTCGGATGAGGCGGTAGAGATCCAATGGCTTTTACTAACTTTAGGTTTTAGCTTATTAACAGCTTTCACAGCTGTGTACAGCTAACTGTATGTTGTGCCAGGCTACCTGCTGTCGATCTCAGGTATTCGTTTCGCTATTTCTTCCTTAAATAGGACTCAGTGTCTCGATCTAGTTGGGACGTAACTGTTTTGCTGCCGTCAATTTCCTATGTCCATTTAGTCTAAGCATAAGTCTTCTACTGCCCGTCACCAACGATACCCTATAGCTATGTGGTCTATCTGAGTCCAGCGTTGATTTTGGTGATGGAGGACGCCAGGTTACTCAATGTCTCTCTTTGTGCCTAAAGTTAGTGCTGACTAGGAGCAGATGATTATCTGAGGAAAACTGTAGAAGACGATCACCGTTGTCGGTTCGTCGGCAGGGAACTCCATACGTACCACCTACATACTTCTCTGTCTGGCATAACTTCCATACTTGGGCATTGAAATCGCCTGCTAAAACAACTATATCTGAACGTTTTGCCTTTTGCAGCAAATTAGACAGTTTCAGGTAGAAGTCATCTTTTAGTTCATCCGAACTGCAGTCTGTTGGGGCGTAAGCGGAGACTACGAAAAGGCAACGACGGGTAGCGCCGTCTTTCCTTCTTTTAACAGACCCATTCAGACGGACCGCACACATACGACTATCTACTGGGATCCAGTCAAGAAGTGATTTTTCCGCCCTAAAACTCAGTGCTATCCCTACACCTGCGAGTCCTCGCGAGTTGGCTGAGGGGTCTCCTGACACCTTTAAAGTGAAGTTTGCAGATTCACCCTGTTGACCGGTCAAGTGAATGACCACACTCAGGTCTTGTATGCGTGTCTCCGAAACACAGCATACATCCATGGCTCTAGATTCCAGAGTTCTTGCTAGTGATGCTGTTGTCCGATTTGGCAGAGGGTCCTGACGTTAAATGCTCCTATATGAAGTTGGCGACGTGGCTTTAAAAGGCTATCTGGGATGTTTCTATGGTTCTCACCTTTGTTTGTGGACACAGAGTGAAGTGAAGATGACTCACTAGCCTGCAGAATAGTGCTAACTGTAGTAGAGAAGCAAGATGAGGAAGGTGATTTGAGTAAGGGAGAGTGATGCTCAGGAAGGCTTCGTGTGCTTATGGAAGTGTGTGGGTGGTTGTTACTTCCCGGCTGCCCACACCGTGGAAGTTGATTGATTCTTCGGGAACCTGAAACAGAAAGAGTGTTGCGTGACCGCAGAGCCCAGGGGACAACTGCTTGAGGCCTGTTTTTGTTTGTTCTTTTTTGTTTGGTGTGTCTCAGTAGCATATTTATCACTTCTGCCCTGTGACACGGCAGCAGGAAGCGCGGTCGTTGTTAATCCGGGCCCCGACTGATCCAGCATGATATTTTGTGAATTTGTTTGAATCATAGTATTGGATTGGGGTAGTAAAATTTTCCAGATGTTCGGGTGGGTGAACAAGTGTTGAATCATTCCTATTACACGTGTTTGCAATTGATTCGATAAACAGAGCTTCTGTTATCAATCTCTCCCTCCACCCTGTGACATTAGATTTTGAAACGGTCATCCTATCCCATCCTATTGTATGGTTGTGTGTAATTGGATGCAGTGTGTGCTATAGCTGAACTATTCTCTAGATTTCTTATCTTATTCGGGTCAACTAATCTACATTCTGCTAGGTTTTTATGCTCGGCTAGTCTGACTGACTGACCCTGTTCTACTACTTTGACCTATGTATTTGACCTGACAATCATTCCAACAGCAGGGTATTAGATAAACTAAATTGTTTTGTTTTAAAGGCTCCACAGGATCCACCATTTAACCGACAAAGCTTGTTTCTAATTGAGTTTGAGTGGGTTTCAATGCCAGCCACTTTTATTCCTGCCTTGTTAAGAATTCTGCGTGAGGTTTCCTAGGTTCCTTCCTTGTATGGAATTACTACTGATGATGCATGTCAAATATGCGCAAGACAACACCAACAATAAGGAATCTAAATCATCAGTAGTAATTCCATACAAGGAGGGAACGTTGGAAACCTTAAGCAGAATTCTTAACAAGGCAGGAATAAAAGTGGCTGGTATTGAAACCCACTCAAACTCAATTAGAAACAAGCTTTGTCGGTTAAATGGTGGATCCTGTGGAGCCTTTAAAACAAAACAATTTAGTTTATCTAATACCCTGCTGTTGGAATGATTGTCAGGTCAAATACATAGGTCAAAGTAGTAGAACAGGGTCAGTCAGTCAGACTAGCCGAGCATAAAAACCTAGCAGCAAAATCTAGATTAGTTGACCCGAATAAGATAAGAAATCTAGAGAATAGTTCAGCTATACCAATGACTACATGCAATTACACACAACTGTACAATAGGATGGGATAGGATGACCGTTTCAAAATCTAATGTCACAGGGTGGAGGGAGAGATTGATAACAGAAGCTCTGTTTATCGAATCAACTGCAAATATGTGTAATAGGAATGACTCAACACCTGTCCATCCAGATATCTGGGAAATTCTACTACCCCAACGACAACAAATAGGAGAGAACAAAGACAACTATAAAACTCAAGTTTTGATGTCGTGTGATTATAATTGGTGAAATGATTATGAACAATAAATAAATTTTGTTCGAAACTTTGTCATCCAGTAAATAATTCATATTTGGATAACTTACTTAAGAAGTTCCGCATGTAATTAGTTTCACTAAAAATATGTAAAATGATAGGTATACGCAACTGGCAGATTATTCTTTATACATTTATCAAACCAGTTAGTGGTGTC